AGAACCTCTCTTGACCTACTAACCACCCCCCTCCTGATACACCCCAGGATTCACTTGCGTGAACTGTGCATCTAGACCAATGGTTTAACGTTATGAAGTGAAACTGTGTAAGTCTACTCCCAGAGTGAAGTCCTTTTTGGTCTTCGTAACAAGAACAGTGACACTGTTGTCAGATTTAAGTTGGTAGGCTTTTTGACCTGCTAATACGAGGAATGATGGTGGACACATTTCAGCTCTGCCCATTCTGAATGATTATTTATATATGTGTGTGTGTGTATATATATATATATATATATTTATCTATCTACATATGTACACCAAAACACTGAAAAAAAAAGCCACAGCTGGATAGGTTTGTGATGGGCAAGCAGGCAGTCAGTCGAAGGCAAGTATCAGACCCTGAACACCTGCTTTTATTTGCCAGCCTAAAAAATTGTGTTCCCAAAAACATGAGAGCTATTTCAGAATTCAGCACCAAGATAAGCTTATCTAATCAATAGTTAATCAGCTGCTAAAGAGAGATGGAGGGAAAACAAGCTAAATGAGCATGAACTGTTGGGCTGAAAAAGGATGTTGGCATTATCTGGTTCATTTTCTAAAATCAAAGGAAGCATCAGTCTTCCATGCCCATCTGGGTTTAATTACTCACCCTCATTATCTCTCTGTTCCTGTATTTGATAGAAGTAGAAACTTGGTATTCATCTCCAGCATCCACATTTTTGGTTGCAAAACCAGGTATTCAAATAGAGATAATGCCAGGTAGAATACTCTTTGTCACGGGTTATTAATTGTCGTAGTCGATGGAGCTTGTAACATTTCAGTTTGGCTTCCAGTAAATATTTCTGCAGCATGAAAGGTTGCTCTGAGTGTGCAGGGCATTTTTTTATGGCTTGGTTGGTTTACTGAGGGCTTAGTCATGTAGCTGCATTTGATTTTAATGGGGAGGTCATTACTAAATTCCACTGCTTTCTGAGGTATCCTTTACAAATGCTTGGAAAAACAAGGCTGTTATCTCTAAGTGTCTTTCACAAATGGAGATCTGGTCTTCTCCTCGGCTTCACACAGCCATTGCGTTAATGCAACCACAGGTTTTTATGAACATGGCAATTCGCTTACGAGCCCTTTGAACAATGACATTGTTGAGTTTCTATTGCAGCTCTTTGCGGTGGCAGCATACTGGCAGCCAGGTGTGACTGTGCTAATTGCCATCATACATATGCTGGCTACAATTCATCTGCAGTGATTCAGTTTTCTATGGTTGCTGTGATGCCCACATACAGCTTTTGGCTCTTCTTACCTGGTGCAATGCACTTTGAGATTATTTGAGAGTGAGGGCAGATGTCAGAAAAGTGAATGTTTTATTTTTATCAAAACCAACCATTGGTTTAGTTTTGAAGGAAAGGAACCCTTGCCTCTCTGGGACAATTTGGTTGGGCCAGTCAACGGTAGAATGTACCATGCTTTTGCCACGTATCTCTTTCTTGCTTCCTTTCCAGCCACTTGGTCATATGCTGCTTCCGCCATGTCCTGGGTCACCTTGACAAACCAAAGGCTCAGACATGCCTTGTGGATGGAGCAGAAAGTGCAATCAAAAAGGGTGGGCTTTGAACTCTGGCAATCAGAATCAGCTTATGGAAAGCTGATCTGAAGTCCTCATTGGTTGATCTGGCAGAAAATAGGGACTAAGAGTTTGGTTCTGTGACCTTAAGTATGGTTCATACCAAACATCATCGCTTTAAAGTTTTGCGAAGTGACAGGAGTTTGTGTAAGAGAATATTAAATATTCGAATATTGAGAAACGTACACAGTAATGTGTCTTCCCATTACATTTGCTACAGATAAGTTGCGGTAAAGCATATTTTATTTTCCAATTTAGCACTAATGTAATATCTACAACTCGGCTGAAATGTAAATATTTGTGTGAATACAAGGGAGAAAAACCTGGGATGGGTTCTTTCCCTAAGTCAGGGTTTGTACCCACTTCCCGCAGAGCTGTGTGGGGTTAGGCAATGCCTGTGCCTGCATAAGGCTGCCTGCCTCAGAGCTGGGTGGGAAGTGCCCACAAGGAGCTACCAGGGCTACTCACTCTCTGGGAAGCAGAAAATGAGTGGGGACTTACTGGATTTCAATCAGCTCTCCTCTTAGAGGGTCATAGCCTTTGTGCCTTCCTACATGCAACCTCTCAAGGCACACTCTAGTCCTAAGGAATCAAGAGACAGCATCCCTTTGAAAGCCTGATCTTAGCAAAGATACTTCATCTGCCATTTCCAGATGTCAGTTGTCATACTGATTTGTTGAGGATAATCAGCCAGGCATTGGCAATCTGGTAGTTGCTAAGTCCACCTAAGGAGTAGAGCCACAAAGAGAGTGCCCAGTCTGCAGGACAGTCATGATGGAACCTATACAGTCACTCTGCTCTATATGGAGAAGTCTGAATGAAGAAGTAATGCTGGGTCTGGGCTTGTCACAGGCTGACAAGCAGATCAATACTGTTTCTGTAGTCCCAGCTGGGCTTTCAGGGAAGCTGCACCAGGGCAGTTTTGGGTCTGCCTGGGGACAGAACCATTTCCTTCCTGTCCTGGAAGTCCGTTGAGACGCTGCTTACTCATTTTAGATATCTCGGGTACCAGCTGAGCAAAGGGGATGTTGGGTCTTCAGTGTGGACCCTCACTAGGGTGAGAATCTCTCACTAGCCAAAAGTTAAAGGAACAGGGTTTTTTCCAACTTTTCCAGAAATACTCACTCTTTTGTTGTGTTGGAGCATGGGGAACTGGAGCCCCAAAGGGATGTTACTATGAAATCCAAAAATGTGGGTTTGTCTTTGAAGTCCTACTGTATCTCAGGTTTGGTAGGATCTACCACATTTATAAAGAATTCAGTCTTAGATGAAAAAAATAGTGCCATTTTGGAAAGCACTTGGGGATTTTTCAGCATGACAGATGCTACTGTGTAAGTGTAAGACTATTATCTCCTTATATATGTGGGTAGCTGTCTTATAAAAAGGTATTTTGACTTCCCAAGTCACTCCAATAAAGTGGAATGTGCAGACACAATACTTGACTGCCCCCACATGCATATTTCACCTTTGTTAAATCTTATTACAATTAAAATCTTAACTGTTCTCTTCTAGCACAAACACTCTGTGCGTGTTAGAATACATGTGACAGCAAGTAAGCCTTTTAGCACATTATTAATCATCAAAATCAAGGATTAGTAAGAAACAAATTTGCATTTTATCTCTAATTTTTCCTTTTTTTTTCCCCTCCTCTTTTTCCTTGCAGGCACAGCTGTCTCAGGCTTTAAATGGTGTTTCAGATAAAGCAAAGGAAGCTAAAGAATTTTTGGTTCAGCTGAAAAATTTATTGCAGCAGATCCAGGTAACTGTAGAATATTAGCTGTTTTGATAATACAGTAATCAATAGAACTGAATTAATAATTTATTTGATGACTTTGTTTCCTGTGCTATTCTCATCTTTCCTGGAATCATCTAACCTTTCTTGAATGGATTTGCTAGGCAAAATTATTCATCAAATAATGCCTGCAAGCCCCTCTTAGCTTCTAGATTGTTTGCTGTTTATTGCAAGAAGCTGATACTCGATACTGGACATCTGAGCTGTGTTGATTAGTATTTGATTGAATCCATCGGTCATGCGTCTGGGTTCCTTCCTGACTGCAATTGCTTCAGTTGGGCATTTAGAATAAGTTCTCATTTTAACGCATTTGAAATTTACTACTTGTTTTTCATCTTACGTTTTCTAAAAATGTACTCGTTTCTGGACATAATCCAGTCAACCTGTTTAGTAGAGTATTTGTAAGAAGTCGAAAAAAGAAGAAGAAACAAATGCTGCTAAATCTATGTGATCGTTTATTGAAGTAGAAGATATTTTCATGCCTATAATTGTCTCGCTTTAATTGTCAGAAAAGGGCTCATGGTGTGCACAGTAATTGAGGGCACAAACCCAAAATGAAACAAGTTCCGTTTTCAACCAAATTTAGACTTGTCGGTGCTGGAGGTCACATGATCTTCAAGGTCCTTCTCACCATGCAGTGTGGCTGGAAACATGCTGCTGTGGTTTTTGCTCTACAGCACCCCAGGAGGGGACACTTGTTACCCGCAGCAGCAATGCTCTGCAGCTGTAGATTTTCTGTGGGATACACATCACCTACTCTGCAATGTGCCCGCTCTGCTGCTTGCTTATCTTTCGTCAACAAGCAAGTCCTGTGCCTGTTACTAGCAGAAAGCCAAAGCAGAAATCTGGAAATCTGTATTTAGTTTAGAATTTAATCATTGAAATATTCCACTTAACACTCCAGATGATAAATTCATACCACAGATGCTGCCCAAGCTCTCAGGTTGCCACAAGGCAGTGCAGCTATGCTCCTTCACAGTCTTCTGTGGTCATGTGGGGAAGGGAAGAACCCAAAACTGGGAAACCAGTAAAAAAAAGGACATCTAATGGAAAGTAACCAGTGTGAACCCACTGACTGGTGCCTGTCACATGCCATGTTTTGGTCACAGTGTGAGGTTTCACTCAGCTGACTTTACCTGTCTAAAAGTTAAGTAAAGTAGTTTGTCTAACCTAGTCATTAGGGCTTCTTTCATTGTCCAAGGACAGGCACCACCAGAGAGCAGTTCTTCCTATAGGTATGTAAAGCTATTTTAGGATGGGATAACTCATCCAAAACAGTAGTCTATAAACAATCTTTTCTTGAGTCACTTAGCTCCATTAAAAGTGTATTTTTCCCTCCTGAAACCTAAAGGTGGCCTATTATGGCTGTTTATGACTATGCTGTAAAATCCTTTAATGTGTTTCAATAAAATGACTCCCAAATTGCTCTGCATGAGGGAGCTGCTACAATTAGATCAAAAAGACCAAGCCGTTTGTTTCTTTGATGCTGCTCATTGCTTAAAATGCTGGCGTGGAGGGAAACTCAGAAGAGGAAACTGTATCCAGTAATCACCTTCTAACATTTTGGCATGTCTGGGCGTGAAGCTGGGTCTGAACCTCATGTGTTGAGCCCATTTCCAGCTTGAGTATGAGTGGGGGCACCAAATTTCAGCAAACCATAACAACAGGAATAATCAGCTGCATACGTATTCATAAGTAAAACAAGGCTAGGTCATAGCTCCGTGCACTAAAGGATGATCACTCACAGAGTTTAACCCTTAATGAGCTCCCTGGCATAGTTTTGTCCTGTGACAAATTGCACTCTTCCCAAGTGATGCCTGAGCAGCATTTAATGATAGCACATACCAGGGAGTACTCCTGGTAGGCAGGTGTGGTACAGCTGTATTATTTTAGGGGAAAGGGTTTAGATGTGTCATGAGCTCATTTGTGCCTTTTGGCATCTGGACCAAAAAAGCAGTTTCTTGGACTGTTATTTGTGAGTAATAGGTGTGGCCTTTGTGCATAGAGTTATATCCAGCACTATATATCTCAGAGCAGGTTATTTCTAATAGAAGTCTTATGATGGTTGCTGGAACACACACATACATTTAAACCCCAGCAAAAATGTCTTTAAAATGTATGTTTACACAAAGGAGTGAGCCATATGTACATTTTGTTATTCTGTCTCAATGCATGGCAGACCAGACAGCCATCTGCACTCTTCATCTCCTCTCTGAGTTTGCCAGAGCTACCAGGAGCTGTGCATTTATCTTGCTTGGGGCAGTTTGCAAATTCTCCTTTTCTTTTCCCTGCTTTGCAGATCTGGTTTACCCCTCTTTTTTTCCCTTCCTTTCTCCTTTCTGAGGTCACTTTTAAATCTCTTGGTCTCTTCTTTTCAGAAACTGCCTGTTCCTCACTGCCCCTGTTGCTTCCTTGCTCCTCCTTGTTGCTGTCATTATCTGATTTTCACATTTTCCCATCTGCTGTAACAATTTCATCCTTTCTCACTTGAAAGAGGCATAGTGCCAAACACCCCGTTTGATATGGGAACAGGAAATGAGAAGAGAAACGATGCACTACAGCCATTGACTGATTTGGGTGCTGTACACAGACCAGCACTTCAAGAGTAGCTGGACGGAAATGGGCTTAAGGGGGAGTCGGGTGTGATATAAGCCGAGCAGGGAGAGATGCAAACAGGAAGAGTCTAAGACAAATGTGTGAACAGTAACTGAGCCATCTGGTGTCTGTCCCCCCACCCACCTTGCTGGCAGGTCTAGGACTGCGGCGGGGGCCTCTCAGGGAAGGACGAGTGACCCTGCACCCCTCAGCTGGAGATTGGGATGCAGGTATCGCAGTGAGGGAAGGGAATACAGTACTGAAAATTTTGTTCTCAAAAGAGTGAAGACAAAGCAAATGAACAGAAAAGAAGAGAAAAACATAAGCAAAAGAGCTAAGAGATAGTAATGAGTTAGGGGAATGTGATGTCTTACCACAGAGATGCTTCTCCTTCAGCATGTGTTTAAAATCTTCTCACATTTAAAGCTGCTTTTTTTTTCATGTGGGTATTTGAGAGGAAAGTCGATAGAACAACTGAACATCTCCTCAAAAGAGGAGCTTAAAAGCTTTCTTCTTCTTTTAGTCTCATGAGCAGAGGAAGTAAGGGAGAGCCTCCCTTTGAATGAATGCCGCAGCATCAGTTCCATGGCCAGAGACAGCCATCCCCAGAAGGAGGAGCAGCTCAGGACCTTGTAGTACCATCCACCCAAATTTCTACAGCTGCAGTGGGATTCTGTGGTAGTTGGGTTTGTTCCTCATTGACAGGACAGAGGTTTATGTAAGGCTAAGTGATACACAAAATCTCAGGGATTTGTACTTGATTAATTTCCTTGTAATAAGCCTGCAGACCAGATTCTGGTCCATAATTCTCTTCTAATTGCCACAGTGTAGAGCCAGTGATTACAAAGTTGCTACAGTGGGATAATGAAAACAGAGTGAGGCAGAACCCACTTATGTATATGCATGCACTGTGTATGTTAGGTTTCAATTTTACATTATGTTGTACTACATGTGTTGTCTGGAAAGTGCCAGTAAATCAGGGTTTTAAATAAGCCCATTTTGTGGCATAGCATCTTACTGTTTTGTTATGCCATAATGAAATCAGAAAGGCAACAGAAATACCGCTGTCTTGAAAGGAGATCTTTTCTGAATGGAAGACCAGGTAAGAGTAAACAATAGCTTAAGGTGTAAAATACACTTTCTTTGATGAATATGTCTCTCACCTTCTTCTAGGAGAATGGGTTGGATTATGAAGCCTGTCTTGTCGCTCAATGTGATGCCTTGGTTGATGCATTAACGCGACAAAAAGCAAAACTGCTCACAAAGGTGACCAAAGAACGTGAGCACAAGCTGAAGGTGAGCACAGCTCTCATCAGCTGAGCACAGCTGTTGATACCTGGCATTACTGTGCATTTTGTAAAGTCCCCAGCCCTTTACACCATGAAAACTCCTAGAGACCTAAATCTTAAAGTCCTCCAGCTGGTTCCATTTCAGCAGTTTGGTTGAACTGTGTTTATACACTTAAAATGAGTCAAATACTTCAGCAGTTTGTTGAATCAGGACATCAGTCTTTATTTATCTGAAGGTGTTGGGCTGTCTTTTGAGTGGTGCTTGTCAGTGAAACCTGTGTTGTTTGGATTCTGGAACCTTCCAAATGCAAGACAGCCCTTCTGCCCAAGTGAAATTTTGTGATTTTGGTGTCTCTTCAAACCTTTGAAATTCAGGCAAGCAAGCCCCCGAAATCCATGTGCTTACTCTAAAGATATTCAAGAAATGCAGTAAAGACAGGTGGGAGAAGAAAGCTATAAATGGTTGAACAAAGTGGCAGTCAAGAAATGTTTGAGTAGACACATATCTTGAAACGTCGAACTGTGTATGTGATTTTGAGGTATTACAGTGCCAGTAACATTAATAGTATCTAAGACAGAAGGAAAAATTGAAGTGAGAAATCTAACATGACAAACAATTAATAAAATTTACCTGAGATCAGCATTTTAAAAAACCTCATGCTTAACAAGAACCAACACCTAGGACATACTGCTAAGAGCACAGCTAATCCTGCAGTTTATTCTTGTTAGGCTGTTGTACCTCAGGAGTTGTGTTGTCAAACACAGTGCTATGAGGCCTACTCTACAGCCATGTGGCAGCAGAATCAAGTCCAAAATCTGGAAAAACAAGATGCAGCTATTCTTATTTCTTAATCCCAGCAATGCGTTCTTAGGCAGAGCAGGATGAGTGGTGAATTGTGAAAAGAATGGTAATCTGCAAGAATTTATCCTTTTTAATATTTGCCTTTTAAGTTAAGGATTTTTTAAAAGCTCAGATTTTAGTGAAAGTGTGATTGTAAACGTGAATACTGCAAATTCAGAAACATGTTCTGCATTCTTTCTGCCCTGAACAAGCCTGATCTTTGAGCAATTAATCTGCTTTGAAAATTGAGATTCCCTGTGCACAACATTTTGCCAAGCTAATTATCAGTATATACAACACAGAGCAAGTGAGTGTTGCTGATGGAGATATGGCAATGGCCATATGGCAGCTAAATTAAGCATAGCTTTACACACTTTGCCATTCGTTGTCTTTTCTGAAATAATCTTATACAATTCACTGTAAACTGAGGCAGTCATCAGAACTGTACAGATGCTTGTTTTCCAGGTTGTTTGGGACCAGATAAATCACTGTACGCTGAAGCTACGCCAGTCAACGGGTCTTATGGAGTACTGCCTAGAAGTTATCAAAGAAAACGATCCCTCTGGGTTTTTACAGGTATTTTTCTTTCCAGTATTCTGGGGAAAAAAAAAAAACCAAACCAAAGGAAAAGACATTAAAGTTAAATGTAAAAATGGACACCTTTGCTGATTAGCCTCTTCTGCCTCTGAGACAGGTTCATCTTAACTCCTGTTAGTACTCTCTGAAAGCTCAGGTAGCCTGGTGACTGCATCAGTGTCCCAGCAAACAGATGGCTTTGAATAGCTGTGCTCTGACTGAGGTGTGGGGTCAGTGGTCACACCACTTCCCTGACTACTGACATCTTTCCTCATGCCAGCCCCTCCTTCTGAGCCGAAAGATAGATGCTACGCAGTTAATGATAACTTTCTGCAGAATATTATTTTATTCTCATCTGAGAAACCCAACACAGGGCCTCACAGAGCTCTGATTAATTTGGAAAGCTCTATGCTGCTCTATGACTCTGCAGGGCAGTACTTCTCCCCTTTTTGCTTCTCCACTTTGCATTACTCAGTGAAAGAGTCCTTTCAGCATCTTCCCCATGAGGAAATCCAGCCTTAAGGGCTTGTGCGTAGCTTTGTTTCACTGGGGTTGTTGCACTTCACAGGGCTGCAAGACTTGTCTGGTAGCTGGACGATCCAGGCATCTCTTCTTTGCAAAATATGGCCTAGCCAACAATTGCCTTAATTAGCAGGATATTGTTTCTTAGGTGCAAGCAGTGAAAGTGTCTACTGATGAAATAAAATGCAACAATTTTATTATCCGATTAATCATTTTGCCTAATTAACTCTGTTATTTTTATTAATTATTTTATTTTGCCCTATTAGTTTTATTGCCTTCCTAATTGTCTAAGAAGAAAGGCACATTGAACCAAATGATCTGCACGTGGCTGTCAGCTGAACAGGGCACGCTGTACACATGAATGCATGAGTGTCACAGGGGGCTGTCACAGCATCCCTAAAAAATAGGATGAGAATTAGCCAGCTTAAACCTATTAGCACACCAGATTGATTGTTACTGTCATGTTGGGTCTCAAGCAAGATTGAGGAATGTGTGGTGTGTATTAATCTCAACACTACACAGGTTTTAGCCGGCTGTTGGTTGGATACCACAGGACAAATGAAACATTTAGGTCTTATCTCCATGCTAGGTGGACACATGCTTCATTTTCATTTCAGCTTTGCTTTTCCTGTAACCTTTGTGGTTTCATTCTTTGCAGTCACCTTTAAAAAAAATACTTTTGTTTTTACCTGTTCCTGGTTTATCTAATGGTGCTTTCAAGGCAACCAGGAAACGCTGAGGCACTGCATTACTTTGAACAACTACTTCTGCAGCCAGGACATTGAAACACAGCCAAGGGATCCAGCAGCCCAGTAAGTGACTCCAAGGTTGAAGGAAGCCTTCTCCACTTACTGCACAGACTGTTGGTATTTTTATCCCTTTCAGCTTTCATCCACTGAATCACCTCTGCTGAATGAAGAGACCTTCTAACATTTAAGCGTGTCTTTGTGCAACTGCTCTTTAAGCCAGAGAACAAAACTAGACTGTGCATCTCAGAGAACAGAGTGCAGAAGTATGTGTAGCATTCAGAGATGTGATATATAACATAATCTTAACAGGCTTCATAAATGTGATTTTTACTTTCCTACTCTAAGATGAGATTTGTTTTGAGAAGATGAAACGAAAGGATGGAACATAAATGGAGCTCCCCGCAAAACGACCAGATACCATCTCAGCTGTCGTGCTGTCATATTCCCGTTTTCATTGTGCTGTATTTATCTCACAGGCATTCTGTCACTTTTAATGTGTGCATCTGCTGTTTCATTATGAGCCTGATACTCTCTTTCAGATCTCGGATGCTTTAATCAAGCGTGTTCAGGTATCTCAGGAACAGTGGGTCAAAGGAGCCTTGGAGCCAAAAGTGTCTGCTGAGTTTGACTTGACTCTGGATAGTGAACCTTTACTGCAGTCGATTCACCAGCTGGATTTTATTCAGATGAAATGTAGGGGTGAGCTTTTGTGATTTTCTTTTTTCTGTTTTTCATGCATGTGTTGAAACAGTGCTGAAAAGAAGGGAGGAAAGAGGAATGGCTTGAAGTTGCTGGATAGTTTTTAAAAGCAAATTCAGATGCTGCGTGATTCCTAGAAAGGTGTGCTCACCTCACATGCAGTTACCTGAACAAGCTCAGACAGAGATACCAAGTGTAGATAAAGATTTGAAAAGATAAATTCTTCAGAGTAGGGCTATCTATCAGCTTTGAAGATTAAAAAGACATTAGCTGCATGAAACTTTATGCCATTTTACAGCATTCCTAGATGGTTAATTCAAAATATCAGTTACCCCTGTCTTGTCAGGAACAGCTAAAGTAGTAAATAAATATTCCCCCACACACACATATGCTTAAGTAGGGGAAAAAACCCAAAACCCTTTTGATTTATATCTGAACTGTGCTGCAAACAGTGCCCAGCTTAAAAACTAATTGTGAGGAAGAGATTCACAAGGGGAAAGTAGCTCCATGGCTATACCCTCCCTTGATTACAGGTATATGAGTAATCCTGAGAGACACATTAAAAGGAAAAGAGCTTAAAAAAGTATTCACAAGCAGAGCTGATGAACACTAGGTGCCATTGGCAAAAAAATATATTAACTTCGTGCACTTGTAGTGAGCGTGGTTTATATGGAGCAGGATGAGAACTGCATCAGAATTAGACAGATCTGTAGACTGGCTAGATTTGAATGCCATTGTGGTCCCTGGGAATGATGCCATTTGCTTCTCTCAGTGGTTATTCAAGCCTTAATTATACATATGGGTGACAGAGTAGAGGCTGCCAGAAGTCAGTGAATGAGTTAAGGATAATTGTGTCGTGATGCCGGATGTGCTTTTTTTTTTTACTCCAAGCAAGCATAAAGGTTTCTGTTCAGTTTATTTGTCCTCTCTGGGCCTAATTCTGAACCTAAGAGACCCAGGATGAAGTAATTAGAATGGATAATTTGGCAGATAAATACGTGGAGAAAAAAGGATAAACAGTTAAAGGGCAAAGTCTGCTCAGCAAGAATGGTTTACATCTTGGCATAAGTGGGCTACATGTCCCATCAGGTTGGTCAGCGCACCTGGCATGACCATGTACACACCATGCAAAGAATGATGGAAATACCATTTATCCTGGCTGCCATTCCTTCATAAGGGACTGCGTTATTCCTTCTCACACCTCTGTGCCCAAGCAATACAAGCCACTGACTGGTCCCAAGCTAACATAGGTACTAAGGATTGTTACATACAGAGAGATGTATTTATATTTTTCAATTTATAACTGCAGATCTTTTTGCATTTTAACTGCTCGGTCTGACACTTTGGGAGTTTTTTCCTGAAATTTACCTTAACAGCTCTGCATTATCTTTTCATGCACAGTGGTCTTGCATCTAGAAATACAGGTACCACAGAGTAAGCACCTCAGCATTTCAGCAGTGAGCACCCAGACTTATGGGGAACATCCCTTTGCTGGCTGTGAGGAGAAGCTGGTGTTGCAGGGTGATCTTTCGCTATTTATCACCATCAGGACTTGTATATTTTTGAGCCTCCAATTTCATGAATAAAAATCAATGCATCTCTTCATATCTGCTCCTCTTTCTCCTCCTCTACCTACCCCAGCACACCAAGAAGTCATCAATCTTTGTCAAATGTTGGTGTTGAGGGGAGTGTTATTAAGTCACTATACTGATTGATCTGACAAGAGTAGATGCATTAACGATATCAGAGATGATCTGTAAAGGGAGATTTGGGGAAACCTAGGAGAATGGGGCCAGCGTGGCTTTTTCAGCTGCAAGCTGTTTTGTTCCAAAAGCTTTGCAGTGTAAGGTCTGTACTATTGTTATCGATGCATAGTGCATGACTGAATTTCTGTATTTTTTTTCAAACTCTGGCCTCATTCAACCTCAGTGAGCTTGCATGGGTCATTTAGAGTGAAAGCATGCTTGTAAGTAAACATTGATTCACTGTGTTAGACAAAGAAGAATGAAAACGAAAACAAATCACATTACATTTGCCTTGATGACTTGTTCATGTTCCTTACTGGTGGACTCTGAATAAGCCCATATCTAAAGCTAATCTCAATAAATAAAGATCAGGGGGTGTTTCTTTGTTTACATAGAAAGAAAAATCAATTTGGTAACAAATTAAGTGTGCAGAAATGTGATAGGTGCAGAAGTAATGCTAAAGCAGTTGTGTTGACCGAGTCTCACTGATAGCTCTTTGGCAAGAGTCTCACGCTCCCTAGCAGCTGACCTGCTGTGACACACATGCTGCTCTAGTAATTGCTGTCATTTTGAGCTTTCCCAGATCCCTTTCCTCTGTCCATGTTTTCTTCTCTCTATTACTTTTTTTCCAAGTGCCTCGACACAAAATTCCTGTCCTCTTTGATGACTGGCTCAATGTGTTCATCACATTTCTGCTGTTCATTCTATAGGCACAGGCAAATACATGTTCCATGTTTGTTTTGTTCAAACAGCTGGAACTGTAATGAAGTCTTGGTTTGTTGTGAAATGGAGCCTAGGTACAAAATAGGAAAAAATACAGCTACTCTCTTCTCTTCTGTACTGCACCTCTGAGTACTCACTCATATGCCCCTTCTTGTCAGAAGTGACTCCTTCACTCTTCTGCAGACCAGTCCATGAAGATTCCCCAGAGACATCTCCTGCCACAAATCTTCTCTGCTTCAGCAGCCATGAGCTGCACAGCTCTGATAATGAAAGAGTAACCGTTTCATTGTAGGTTTTATCCCTGGTTCTGTCTGCTCTGCATCATGGATCCAGGTCTTTGCCTGTGCTCTATCCCTCTCTCTCGGTAACACTGTTTGTAGGACACTTGCTACAGCAGAGACTCAGGCTATTACAGGGCTGTACTGCAGTTTTGGAAGAGGAGGTCAAAGTTTTCATGTTTCTGAGGGTCCCATTCTTTCACTGCATTTAGTCCTTTAAAAATTAATCTGGGAAGGTGGAGGGCGTCATCATTGCACAACTTGCTTGTCAAGATGACAAATAACACACAACATCTTAGAGCAGCTCTACTCTACCCTGAGAGGAGATCAGCTGTGAGATGCATTGAGCAAAGTGTTTTTGAAACTGCTGAGTTGACATGAGACATCAGTATAATTTTTTAGCTAAATGTGACCCTCATTAAACACTTTTAAAATAGCAGGATATCGTTCAGACCCATTAATAGCTCTTGCTGTGCCAATGCAGTTATCATTTCTCCCTTTATATTTTTAACCTTTTCCTTCAAAAACCTTAAGTGACTTAAAGTTCAACAAGAATTGGGACAGCACTGTAATTTAACATCTGAATCTTCTTTTTTTTCCTGACAGTTAGCCTATATTTTTCTTTTCTTAGTCCTGTCCCATTGCTCTTCACTATGAAGTGTGTCCCAGTGTCCCGGTTATTCTACTCGCTTTGCACTTTCCGATGACTTTTACAGTATGTGTTCACCTTTTCCCCTCCCAGAGGGAATCTGAGATCAAGGCAAATCTCTGCCCATCCCTGTGCAGGAGAGGAGACAGGAGGGCAGTTACGGCAAGCGTCATTCAGCAAAGCTTCACGGCTGTTTGGTGGGAGCATCTTAACCCTCCTTCAGCTACTGTAGGTTGTGCAGTTCAGGCCACAGGCTGGCCCAAAGGGAGTAGGATACTGGTAAGAGTTACTCACAAAAACATAACTGTCCAGTGACACAGTAAAGAAACCCAGGCACTTCCCCATAGTGTGTGTGGCTCTCACACCTAGGGCCAAAATTCACACTGTCCCTGGAAAGTGGGAACAGCAGTTTCATATGGAACATTACTGTATGAAAACATACTCTAATCCTAGATGGCAT